TTGAACCTATATGGGATACGATATGCATAGTAAAGACTAACTTTATTTATTCATATTGGATTCAATTTCAAGGGCTAGTCGATTGATGGATCAATATTTTGGGGAGGACTTCTTCACTAGTGTAAATGAAATGCAAATTTTTAAGGAATAAGATTAGACGGTTAGTGTTTTATTCGTTATGAATATTTTGTATCATAGAGATTAATCATTTTAAAGAATTGTTAAATACTGCGCTGTTTACTTTTAAGTTTATTTTTTATTTTTTATTTTTTATTTGGCTATCAAAAAATATTATGCCATAAAAAGTAATTTTGCTCCTGTAAACTTCTAATAAAGAAGCCGGAAAAACCAATGGTATGTTAGGGTAACGAATGAAGGTATGAAAAATGCAATCCCGAAAGTTAATAACAATCGCAATTTTTGACAAAGTATGTCACTCATTCCGGAACATGTGAAAATAAGAACGACACAGACTCTCCATTGTGTGTACGTCTGATAGCTGGAAATGCAATCGAGTAATTTTAATAAATATTTTAAATTATCCTTAAAAATATTAAATATCAAACCAACCTTCAGCTAACGTCGAAGAAATATCAATAGTATCAATTTTCGGACAAATTTTCTTTTTCTCTTCGTGAGGTATAGTATTGGTCACCACCACTCTTTCCAAACATGATTCATTAATAACATCAATGGCCTTTCCAGAAAGGATTCCGTGCGCAACTATTGCGTATACTTTCAATGCACCCTTTTCCTTAAGTGTACTAGCCGCATAAGCTAACGTTCCACACGTGTCCGCCATGTCATCAACAAGAATGACCATCTTTCCACTAACATCTCCTACCAGCACCATGTTGGAAACTTCATTAGCCTTCTTACGTTCTTTATGGATCAAAGCAAAATCAAGATTTAATCGATCAGCGATTGATGTAGCTCTGGTGATGAAAATGCAAGCATTTATTTGGTTGATCTAAGGGTAATAATGAACAAATAGAATTTCGAATTTCAATAAATATAAATCTACCTTTTTGCTCCGCCAGCATCCGGTGAAACGATAACAGAATTCTTCCAGTCAGGAATTGAAGCCTTGATATATTTCAACATGGAAGGTTCGCTATATAGATTATCTACAGGAACGTTAAAAAACCCTTGAATTTGACTCGCGTGCAAGTCCAATGTGATAACATGATTTGCTCCAGCGACAGTCAACATATTTGCGACTAGCTTGGCAGTAATCGGTGCTCTTGATTTATCTTTTTTATCTTGTCTTGCATAAGGAAAACATGGAATTACTGCAGTAATTCTCCTCGCTGAAGCCGATTTACAGGCATTAATCATGATTAAGAGTTCCATTAAATTATCATTGATTTCTCCACATCCAGATTGAATGATAAATACGTCTTCATCACGAACCGATTCACCAATAGTAACTGAGGTTTCCTGATTTGAATATTTTAAAACTACTACCTTTGAAAGTTCAAGGCCCAGCCTCCTATTTACAGCAAGCCGCCATCAGAGAGAAAGGAAATGGTGAAAAGTGATCAAAATGAATGGCTTATGTAATTGAAAAAATGATATGTCTGTTACAATACCTCGCCACAAATTTGGCAAGCTCGATGTGTGAATTTCCAGCAAATATCTTTATTGAATTTGTTGTCATGGTAGTTCTTTCTATTAAATGACTCAAACTTAGAGCTCAAACTCGTAAAATTTTATTTTGAGTAAAAAAAAAAATTTAGAGATCTTATAGTAACTTTTAGTTTATATATTGTAATCAAATGTCGGATTTATTTAGATCACGAAAAAAAAAAAAAAATCCTGAATATATACACACTTCGTTAAAAGAGAACGCCAATTATAGACTTTTAGTGTTACTACAAAAAAGGTTAGTAACCATTTTATCAATTTTATCTAGATATCTACGTTGATCCAATCTGCAAACTGATGCAAAGCACGTTAATGTTAAACAGGAATAAAATAGTTTACACACACGATAAGCTTTGTTCTAAAACGACAATAATTAATAATTCGAAAAACATATAAATAACAACTTGCCTTATTTAAAAATTCATTATTATTTTTAACAGTTTAATGTGTACATAAATGACAATGAAAAATAATTCGTTTACAAACATTATAAATTATGTAACATAGTAAATTAAAAATATTTAAAAACCAAAATTACGTAAATACAATATAAGACGTACAGTTTGTTACAAAGTTTTTATTTTTTTATATTTAATTTGATTTTTTTAATATTAAAAATGTTTGTTTTTATTATATAATAATAATAATTTTTTTTAAAAAAAAATTAATTATACTAATATTCTATATATACTTGACAACTATTAAAAAATCAAAAATTAATGAAATTTTGCACAATTCTATTAAATTTGATATTTCTGTCTATAATATAATTAAAGAAAAATTAATTTTTTTTTAAAAAAAAAAAGTTATTATATATTTTTTTATTTTATAATTTTAAAAAATTTAGATTAAATAATAAATCCATGCGTGTATCGCAACTTAGCCTTTAAAAAAAAAAAAAAAAAAATTAGATTAAATATAATAATAATAAATTATTTTTATTACTTATAATTAATTAAATTATTTAATTTTTATTAAAACTTTTATTAATTAAAAATGTTTAAAAATATTTTTGAAATTTTATATTTAAAAACTTTTAATAATAAATTTTTTTAAAAATTATAAAATTAAAAAATTATTGCTTTATTTAATTGATAATTAATTTAAAATTTTTTTTTAATAATTTTTGAAATAAATAAATAGATTTCTTAAATTCTTATTAGATTAAAATATCAAATTATATCAAATTATATTTTTAAATTATTATTTCAACTAAAAACTATTTAATTTTAAATTAAATAATTGATTATAAAATTGAATTTAATATTGTACAAATATATATACAATATATTTTATTTATATTTTATTATTAAAAACTAATCAATTTAAAAATTTTAATCAATTATTATTTAAAAATTTTAATGTAATTAAATTTTAAAATTAAATTAAATTAAAAAAAATTCTTTATATATTTAGTTATAAAATAGGCTACAATTAGATTATTATGTAATAAGATTGTTAATATAAGATATTTAAACTTAAAATTTAATAATAGTCTTATATTTAATACCTGTTAAAAAAAAATAAATAAACAAAACTCTTTAAAAAATTAAAAAAGAACCAAATATAAAAAAAAATGTTTTTATAAAAAAAATAATTATAATATTAAAATTAAAATTAAGAGTTTTAATAATATTAAATTAATATTAAATTTATTATTAATATACTTCTTTTATTAATTCTTTTGTTAACTTAAAAAAAATAAATATTCTTAGTAATAATTAATAAATTAGTTATTTATTTATCTTTGCTACTTGAATTTTTTTCTTCAAATTCAAATTCTTTTTTAATTTTTTTTTTTTTTTAAAGTGCACCAGTATTAATTATCTGGCTAAATATTTATTCCTAATAATGATGTTTACATATATCTTTAAACATTACTATCTAGGACTATACTATAACATATCGGTTGTCAGTTATACCCAACACTTATCGGAATTGCTTCAAATAATAATGTTTGCTATAGCTTGTTTCTAACTATATTAGGTATAGAAGTTAATTTACTTGGACAAAAGTATTCTTTTGTTAAACCAGTAGCATGCATTTTTACTAATAATTGAATAACTTTATTTCTAACTGGAAAAGATTAAGAGGAAGTTGAAAGGAGGCATTAACAATAATATTTATGGCACATAAAGCTACATAATTATTGCTTACTCCATCAGGGATAAATCTCTTTACCACCACCTATAGCTAGGCTAACCATTTAATTTCTTATCTGTCCAATGATACCCAAGAATATTCAAGGTATTTATAACTGATACTTATCACTTGAATACTGACTTGTATATTGCAGGTAGGGATCAAAGTTTTAAACTGAAAACTGATTGATCTACAAATCGGTTTCGGTTCAGATCAGTTTGGTTTTCAAAATTTTTAAACCGATAAAAATCGGATTAGATCAGTTTTAAAATTTTATAAATTAATTGGATCAGATCAGATCAGTTTCGGTTCGAATCAAAACTGATTTTGATTTTTTATATTTTATTTAAATAGAAACAAAAATAGAAAAATTAAATTAAAATGAAATATATAAAGTAATAAAATAAAACGATTATAAAT